CTTTGATTCCTTTGCCTTTGATTGCTTTGTTCAATAACTAGAACTCTACTGTGCCAGTAAAAGCACATTTGAGTGGAAATATTTATTATTTTTAAATTAAATTTTATTTTTTTCCATCACTACTTATCCCCCCATACCCTCCTTCACCTCCATTCACGCTGCCTCCCTACCCCCTGCAATCACCACACTGTTGTCCCTGTCTTTGAGTAGAAATCTTTAAAAGTGTGTGCTTAGGGGCGTCATATTAGCCAAATCTCTTCAGTTACTAACCCAGGAGTTCATAATCTGAATTTGACTTACTAGATATCATTGAACTTCTTGAAGTTGTATGTTAGTACATGTGTATATTTCTTGGAAGAAGGCCAGAGCTTTCACAAGATTCCCAATGAAATTCTGAACCTGAACAAGTTACGTGTAGCATAAAGTCCGCAAAATTCCATCTGTTGTCCACAGTGCCTACATCCAGGATCCCTTCATTTCTTCAGTTTCTTCAGAATTATCTGCAGTACTCCAGTTCCTCCAGCATAATTTGCTTGTCTTGATGACTTCCTCTTTTGAAAAGATTGTTCTCTAAAAATCTTTTAATACTATAGTCAGTCCTAAAACCCTGTGTAGATGCCTTGTTTTTAGTTAATTTCAATAGCTGAATAATTGCAGTTCGAGGACTTTCTTATTTTGATTCATTTATATTTTCCTGAGATTTTCATTTGTAGTAAACCCTGCCTGTTTTACTTAAATTGCAACCTGTAAGACAGAGGTTAGATTTCTTCAATATGTTTTGTCACACTAAATATTATATAACCATAAAATATATTCTTCTTATCCTGAATTTGAGTAACATTTATTTTTTTATCCATCTCTGAGTTGTTGTGCTCACTGCAATTCAACATCATTCAGAGGTATTTGATTTAAGCTTATGTCACAGGTACAGTGGAAGCAAACAAAAATATTTGGAGGCACTGACCTTTAATGTCTCTGTTCATGGTCATTATCCTTTTACTGCAAGCTGATCTGCTTTGTCTACAATAAATTGTATTTGAGATCTCTCCAGTATCACCTTGCAATGTAAAATGGATTCATTTCCGACCAAGTGTAGACTGTAGGGACTTTCAGAGAATAATTACCTCCATTCTGGCTGGCATCCCAGGAATCCTGGCATTCTATAACGACACTAGTATAAGTGACCCAGCTACAGCTCTTCCAGGTATTCCCTCCATTAGGCTCAGAATGTATTCTTCTCTGGAAATATCATAAACTTTTTTTTCTTTTTTGATCATGGACGGACCCAACAGCATTGCCCATTGGTCACTACCATTAATTTTCTTCACAGCGGAGTTAAGAAATTTTATAGCTGGATTCATATTATGTAGATGGCTTAAAGAGTGCCTAGTATGTGTAAGGTGGTATTTTTCAAACGTTAGGGTGCATCAGAATCACCTGGAAGGCTTGTGAAAGCACTGACAACTGGGACCCAACTCAAGAGTTTTCAATTCAGTGGGGTTGGAGAGCAGCCTGAGGATCTGCACTTCTAACAAGTTCCTGGATGAAGGTGATGCTGCAGAGTGGGGAACTTCACTTCTGAGAAGCACTGGTGTAAGACATTGATTCTCACACTGGGCAGCACAGGCAAAACTCGGACCTCAAGGAGCAAGGCCTCATAGGGAAGATAAGATATTTACATAAATAACATACCACTTGTGCCCTTAGGGGTGCCAGACAAAGTGGACTAGAGGGAGGCAGATATATCTTTCAGTTTACAAGATTAGGGAAGCCTCTGTGGAGAAGGCAGCAAGTAACTTGGCCTTGATAGAGGGATGGGTAGAACCTAGAAATCCAGAGCTTCAGGATGAAATGGAGAGCTACAGTACATTTAATTGCATTTAAAAACTGAAAAAGAAATGCCCATTTTTTGACATTTATGAGACAATTTTTAAAAATTGTGTTTCAAATAGTATTTTCATGCAATTTAAATTAATGTTAATATTTTAGTATAATAATGGTATTGTGGTCATGTTAAAAGGAGGCTTTATCTTTTAGAAAGGCATACTGGGATATTTAAGGGTGAAATGACATGTTTTCTGGGGAAGCGGATGGATGTGGATAGAACAGATTGGCCAGTGACTGTTGGTACCTGGGACCTAGTGATGATTTCATGACAAGTTCATTATGCTATTCTATTTATTTTTGCGTATGTAAAAAATTCTTTGTAATATATTTTTTAGAAGATAAGAACTATATGAACAAAATTGAAGAACTAAAGTAATGCAAGGCTCATGGTTTTTTTCTACTAGAAGGGAAACAATATAAAGTAAACAATAGAACAATAAAGGTAAAATAGTAAATAGAGACATTCAAAGATTTGGCTTGAATGCCACTAAGGAACTGGGCTATATTTTTAAGACAATGGAGAACACTGGAAGTACTTCAAACAGTTTACTAGTATGGCAAAAAAATGCGCTTTGGAAATATTGTGGCAATGGTAAGCAAAACAGATTGGGAGGGGGACAAGAGTCTGGAGTTAAAAAATAGGTGGTAAAGGCCTGAAGAGAGATCTATAAGATAAAAAAGGGGGGAGTTTGAGGAGGGAGCATATAGAGAAATCTGTTGGTGTTGGTAATCAGTTAATTATGAAGAGAGACAGGGAAGATTTCAAGATTCTAAACTCAAAGACTGGGAGAACACCAGTGTCATTGAAAGAAAGGGGATATTTCACAAGGAAATGATAAATTGTTTTAAAGTATCACTAGTGGGGAATCCATATGATATGAACAGCAGATAGCTGGAAATATGTGATTAGAATACAAAACTCAAGCAACACAGGATTGAATCTGAGACACCTATTTTACGAGATGAGATGAGATTGCCCTGGGAAATAAGTTAACAACTAAAGAGAGTCAAGGATTTTGGGAATTTTACACACACACACACACACACACACACACACACACACACACACACACACACAATTTATCTGACATGAGAATTACCTGGCTCTTTCTGCCCACTCATAACTGCAGTCAATTTAACAAAAATAGTCCAGTAAAGAGAGCAGAAAAACGAGTGAGCTGCAAGATATTCACCTTAGCTAAGAGACATACTTGTAGCTTTGTTTCAGTCTTGAATATCTCAAAGGCTTGCTAATGAACTCTTTTTCCATTTTCCTCACGGATCAGTCATTCTCTGCTAGATTCCATTGGGAATACATTAGAGAGAAAGTCCAAGAATTATTCCAAGCTGAGGAAATAATTTATGATCTTGAGCTAGTAATAGCCTAAAGAAATTACTAAAACTGTTTTCTGAGTATTGTTAAAATTTTAGTATCCATTATGCTGAAACTGAAGTTGTTATATTTGTGACACTGACAAATCATTGAATAGATAATGCTGAATAACCGCTCTTGATTAATTAATTCAACTTGGATTTGGGTGGGAGAGATACACGGCATATCTTGTTTTATTGTGCTTTGCAGACAGTTTTTTTAAAATAAATTGAAAGTAAGACCCTCACCAGCAAAAAGATTACATCTTGCTGAAGGCTCATTTAGCAATAAAGTATTTTTATTAAAGTATGTGCATTTTTTAGACATTATGCTATTACACACTTACTATACTACAGAAAGTGTAAATGGAACATTTATATGCATTGGGAAACCAAAAATAAATTGAGACCCTTTACTATGATATTCGCTTCACTGTCGTGGTCTGCAACCAAGCCTGCAATATCACCAAGCTATGCCTGTATTCTGTACTCATTCAGACATGGCACAACGCCTGTTTCCTTAAAATCAGGATTCTACAAGCTGTGTATGATTGTCTCATAATTGGATCTATATGCATTGCTTTAGCTAAAGTTAGTGTTCAGTTGCAACAATTTCTCTATTTCGTTGCTAACTTATACTTTGTTCTATTTCAAGCCTTATTTATATATGTTTTAATATGACAAAGTATTGCATAGGAAGTACGTAAGGTCTAAATCATAAAAACAAAAAACCATTTTGAGTACTTATGTTATAGGGACCTATTTTAAGGCATTTGTATTTATTATCTCTTTTAGTTTTCAGAATGTGTATGTGGAGAAGATATTACTATTATTATTATTGCCCTCACTTAACTGATTAGGAAACTGAGGTCAAAGAGCCAAGTAACTTGCCCGCAGTCACTCTTAGAAAATCACTGAGCCAGTATTTGAAATCCCAGCAGTCTTATTGCAGAGTTACAGCAGTTAGCCACTGTGTAATTTATTAGAGAAGTAAACTGCATAAAGGACATTAACATTTGGTTAATCTCTAATATTCTCTACAACTCAATATATTAAAATAATAACTCATCATGCCTTTACCTTTGCACAACACCCCCACCCCAAGACAGTGAAGGCAATTTCGGTTCTGCCAGGGGTATCCTCACTCTTCAAACATCTATCTTGTTTACCTTGAGTTACCTCTGACTAGTCCCTCCCTCTTTCACTTCTATCTGCAAAACAGCAATAATAGAGGGCAGGTACCAAAAGTTTTAGCTATTAAAAGTTTTGTGTTATTGTCTACTGTGGTAGGAGCTACCTGTACTAGGTCTTGCCTTTTAATGTTTCAGTTTACATTTACATGGTCAAAAACAGAAAATCAGAAAATTCTGGAAGTGTTAAATTAGAAGCCACTAAATAGCAATATTCCCGCCAATTCCAATGAAGAGTTATTAAAAGATGAGACCAACTAAAAAATAGTATTTGTTAGCTTTATTATTTTTAATTAGCTTTATATAAGCTACCGGTAGGATCAAAGAAGAAGGTATATACTTTGTAACAGTACAGTTAAAGTCCAATATTTATGTTTGTTGCAGAAACCTTTTTTCGGAATTGGTGAATGGCCTGTCCTGGGCGAGCTCTCCACGAACTATTACTACTTTCTTAAGCCGAGCTGAAAGTGGAGACGCTCTCTCAACAAAGAACTACAAATCCCAGAATGCTCTTTCTGTCTTTTTTTTTCCCTCGAGAACTCAGAGGGCTACATCAACCAATCGCTTCGTTGAAAACTTATGCTACCAGCCAATCAGAGGCGAGCGGGAGATCGAAGTCAGGAGGAGGAAGGCGCCGTTTGTTCGAAATAGGAAAGTTGGCGCGGCTGAGGGAGGGGGGTCTGGAGCCCGACGGTTAACTGGAATCGGTTCATGTCTTGTGTGGGGAAGGCGGCTGGGCTCAGGCCTGCGGGAGAAGGTGAGAGAGGTGGTAGCTGAGCAGGTCTCCCGACCGGCCTGTCGCGATAGAGGGAAGTGGATTTGGGGGTGGATGTGTGTTTTCGGGGGCAGTGTCTGTGAAACGCACGTTCTTTTGTTTGTGAGTCTGGGCCTCTCGGGATGGGCAGCGGAAGGGCTGAACAAGATGTCTGTGGATCCCTGGGGAGATTTTAGGTCCCTGGGAAGGTTTTAGCATTACAGGGAACTGGTGGGACCTACAGTCTTACAGGACATCTTTTTACAGTGAAGGACACCGAGGCCCGGGGAGTCTAGGTCAGCGGTCCCCAATCTTTTTGGCACCAGGGGCCGGTTTCGTGGAAGACAGTTTTTCCACGGACCCGGGTGGAGGGGTAAGGGGAGGCTGGAGGCGGAGCTCAGGCCCGGGTGGGGGTGGGAGACCGGAGGCGACGGCGGTATTGCGAGCTGCGTCCACCGACCGGGAAGAGGGAGTTTGGGGACCCCTGGTCTAGGCGACTTGCACACGTCCTGGCTACATCCACTGAACTCCCACTCCGGTCTTCATGTTATTGCTGATTTAGCTGATCAGGGGTGGAGGAAGAGGCAGGGTAGACGTGTGGGGTCTTATCCTATGGGCGGGGGCCGGCCACCTGGGACCTGGAGATTGAGGCTGGAATTGAAAGTGGCCCGGTCCGGAGATGCTTTAGAGATCACCAATTTTACCTGCGAGAAAACGTAGTCGGAGTCATTTTCCCAGGGTCATAGAGCGTATACGTGTCCTGTGCAGTTACACTAACAGATTTCTAGGAGGTAAAGGTTTCCTGAATCTTAACCATATGGCTGCATCTTAACCATAGTTAAAACCAGGTGGCTTGATCTGCCCTAGAATATCTAGAGTTAAAATTAAGTTGCTAACTGACCATTTCTAGCGAAGGTCAAACTCAAAATATAGTTGATTGGAATATGTGCCTCATATGATTAAAGTAACTTAAAAAATGCAGCATGTTTTATTTGTTTTGTAGGATTGTCTTACAAAATGGTAGAAGATGAATTGGCACTGTTGGATAAAAACATAAATGAATTTTGGAATAAATTCAAAAGCAATGTCAGTGACACGTCCTGTCAGATGGTGGGACTGAGAGATACCTACAAGGACATCAATAAAGCATTGACAGGTACCTAAAGTTAACTTGTAACATGCTGCTTATGTTGTTATTTGTTGTTGTTGTTGTTGTTGTTTTTAGTGTTATTTCAGCAGAATTAAAGCACCAATTCCAATTTCTCTTTCAGAAAAGCTGTCTGTGAAATTAAAGGAAGAAGAACGAATGGTTCAAATGTATCAAGAATATCAGAATCGTATGTGACAATCTGTAGATCACAGAGCTTTGTTTAAACATCTTTATGAAATCCCTCATACAAGTAAAACAATGTATTCTGTATGTATATATGTGTATATACATTATACACATATATACACACATAAAAATAACAAACATGTATCTATAATGCAGCTTAATGAATGGAATATCCTATGTTGTACCTTCATCTTCACCCACCTTCTAGAACTAACTTACTATTTTGTTTAGGGTTGTGCTTTTGAATGTTATATATAAATGGTATCATTTTGTATATATTCTCTGGTGATTTATTTCTGTATTTATTTGAAGGGGTTAGAGTTGCAAGGATCATGATCATCTGATTTGTAAATTCTTGGTTTAATCTGGTATTCTTGTTTTAAAAAGCACTTTTTTCTGTTTTCAAAGACAAACAGGAAAGAATAGGAGTTTTTTCTTTTTGTTTTTATAATTTTTCAATCATTAGGAAATAAAACGTGTATTAATCTTATGAAAGTCAATATTTTGAACTTATCTTAGATATGTGTTAGAGAACAAAGCATGTATTGCCTAGCAAATATTTTGTGCTTCTTACAGAGATCTGCAGGCAGAATAAGCTCATTGAAGAAAAAAAAGATAACTTGTTAAAGTTGGTTGTTGAAGTAAATGGCAAAAAGCAGGAGTTGGAAGCACTGACTACAAAAATCCAGGATCTGAAGGAAGAATATGCCAGCAAGAAGGAAAGTAAGTTTTCAGTTATACACATACTAAAAACATCGGTCTAAATTTCGCAGTGGTGATGGTTCACAACTGTATCTTGCCTTCTCTCCAGCTTATTGCCAAAAGTAGATACTGTCCCTTAGGGGTATAGCCAGCCACACATCTCTGTAAGGTGTCTGTGAAGGTAGCTGAGTAGGTTTTATTTTCTTTTGTTTTACTTAAAGGTACTTTTGACTTCTAATATAGCCAGAGTAATAATGAAATTGATACGGGAGTTTAATTAAGCATAGTGTGAGACAGTTTCACCTAGTAAGATTTGTCAGGGACAAGCTATAGTGTGATTTAGGTAAGAACTGTATTGATCACGCATTCTCTGCCAGAAACTATTAAGCACCTTCTTTATGGTGAAAAGCCTCTTTGTCTAAAAAACTCATATTCGAATGAGTGCTTTCTTTAAAAAGGAATCTCGTTTGCCCACAAAGTAACCCTCAAGTCTTTTGAAAAGAGCAAAGTGTGTGTTGTTAATGCTTTTTCTTACAGAGTTTGTATGTTAGTCTGCATTATTTTTCTTATCTCTTATGTATTAGGAAATAATGTGCTAACTTTAAGAACAGTTCTGAACTGGCATGAAATAAGGCTGACTTCTCTTGAACAATAGTTATGTTTAAAAGAATAGAATATTTCTCCAATAAAGTAATTTCTTGGCTAACCAAAAAAAAGCAAAATAGTATAAACAGTCTGTTTCTCTGCCAGCCATGCATATTTTGGTCTATTTACTTGTACTACTAGGTGCTAAAATAGGATAAAACACTCCTCTCATTCCTTGGACATATTTTCTCATGCAGTTTTTCCTTCTGCTTGAATGAACAGAAAAACCTCTTTTGCTAATTGGTAGAGATAGAAACAGAATGAATGTAAGCAGATTCATTTGTCCAGCATCATTTTTTATAGTTGTTTTCAAGGTTTTAAAAAATTAAGTGAGCACTGACTGTTATTTAAAATATTTGATAGTGTTTACGTTTTTTTAATCATAGCTATTTCCACTGCTAAAAAAGCTAGTGAAGAGAGTTTGCAAAGGCTACAGAAATCTGTCGACTTGTATAAAGATCGACTTGGACTAGAAATTCGAAAAATTTATGGTAAGTATATTATAAATAAAACTTACGAAAATTAGAAGGTGTGTCTATTTTGAGTAGAGGACAATTAAAAATTTTTTCAAAATAAAATTATTACATGTTTTCATGCAATATAATGACTACATTAACTTTTTTTTAAAAAAAGGAAAAAATATAAAATTTTTATCACCAAAATATAATTACTGAAGCCTTGGTTATTTATCATTTGTATTTTTGGCTGGTTGCCAACAGGAGAATAATTTTTGTTCTTTGTTTGAAATAGTATGGTATGATTTGTATTTCTCTAGTTGTAATGTCTTTCGTAATGGTAAATTTAAAATGGTGGTTTAATATTTCATTTCATTAATGTGTGATTAACATATATTGCATCTAACTTAACTTTAGGATTCTGCCTGTTTTTTTAGTTTTAGAAGTACTGTAGTGAATGTAGACTCCTCCATTTCTTTTGTATAATTCCTGTGGAATTCCAACAGAGGAATTACTGGGTTAAAGCATGTCAGTATTCTAATGGCCATTGCATGTATATGTGCCAGTTTATAGCACTGCTTATTGTATTTGGAGTACCCAGGATCACCACCAGGTTTGGTGATTTGCCAGAAAGACTTCCAGGATCTGACATAGAGTCATAATTTTGATGAAGTCCAATGTGTTTTATTTTTTTCTTTTGTTATTTGTACTTTTGGTGTCATATTTAAGCTACAATACATTCTTAAAAAAAATTTAATATATTGATTTTAGAGAGAGAGAAACATTGATGTGAGAGAGAAACATGGATCGTTTGTCTCCTGTTTGTACCCCAGTGAGGGGGATTAAACCCACAACACAGGCATGTGCCCTGACTGGGAATTAACCCCCAGCCTTTTGGTGCATGAGACATTGTTCCAACCAACTGAGCCACACTGGCTAGAGCCAAACTACAATATATTTTAAAACAAATTTTTGGCATGCATTTGGAAACATTGGTTAAGTGAATATACAGGGTGGGGCAAAGGTAGGTTTACAGTTCATATGAAAAATAATATAATAATTAATAAATAATAATAATACAAGAATAAACTCTGTTTTGCATACTCACAACTGTAAACCTACTTCTGCCCCACCCTGTGTATACTTAGTGTAGATATTGATCAGAGACAAAGGTAAGAAAATGCATCTCCACCAAAAGTTTTGCACAATAAAATATTCTCATATTAAAGAATTTAATCTCTGTTTTCAGGTGATAAATTACAGTTCATATTCACTAACATTGACCCTAAGCATCTTGATAGCCCATTTATGTTTTGCCTGCACCTAAATGAAGCAAGGGACTATGAAGGTATGTCCTCTTCTCCGTAACTGGTATTTAAGATGGCACCCCAAAATGTTACTTGAATCAGAATATAAAGTAATATGAATGAAATAAGATTCCCACGAGCTATTGTTTTCTTTTCAGTCTTGCTTTTTTGGGATATTGTCTTCTAAAAGCTGTGACTATAACAAGTAACTTCACTTCAGGATGGCACCATGTTACAGTGGCAGAAAAGTCTAAAAGACAAAGGATCACTGTATTTCATATCCTTTTAAAGAACTTAAAGCAGTGCTATAAAGGATATGACTACTAAATGTGAATATTATAATTTATCCAAGTAGGTGATTTTAAAATCAAATGTAACATCATTAGAATCTGATCTTTTTTTCTCCGAAGGTCAATTTTACAAAATTACCCCATCTTCAAAAATACACATTGATAATTTAGCTGAGTTACTGATTCTTCAGCAGACCAGATGGTTTTTGATTTATGGGGAATATATATGATTGGTAATAGTGTGAACAAGAAGAGAACGGAAAGAAATCTTTTTTTAGTCCCTCCTAATTCCCTTGTTAAAATAATTCATTTATTGGAATTCAGGAAATGGTTCTCAGCCTTATACCTGTGGTCTCATTAACGTATTTATAGGAGACACACACTCAGGTGAACTGTTTGGTTGCCTCTCCAATGTGCCCTGATGACTCAATTCCTATTTAAATGGAATTTATGTTTTAGGAATCAAGTTTATATACAAATGTTTGGCTTTTTTCTTTCTAGGTAACTATCTTCTAATATAAAAAGTGCTGAATTTTAAAAAGCAATCCCACAAACCTCTTACCTAGCTTTAAAATTTTCTCCATATTGGATATTTTTTGTTGCTACATAGTGTCATAGTATTTGAGAGTATATTAAAATAGAACCTACAGTTTAATTTTGAACCAAGTGGTCTTTTCTATTCTTTCTCTACTTTGGTCACGGGCCTTATTTCCTAAGCAGTTTCTACAGAAGAGCAAGAAATCTGATGTGGTCGAATTTCTTCCCCTTGAACAAAGGACAAGATCAATGGTAGAGAATGCTGGATCATTCCTATCCTTTGACCAACTTCTCTGGAGATTTGCTTGCTCCCAAAATGTACCATTTGGTTCAATTGCACACGAGATCTGTACTCTTATTTGTGACTTTGAGTATCATTTGTTTAGTAGGCCCTATAAATACCACTTTTGGAATAACAACGACATTTTCTAATGACCTCCATTTCATTTGTGAAACTGCAGATTTTTTTCTGCCCTTAATTGTAAGTTATTAACGGTTGGCATTGAAAGTTGTTCTCTTTTTTGATCCAGTGGTCAGATAGTAGAAGTCAGGCCAAAGTTTGTAGCAAAAAACTGAGTTAACAGTTAAAAAAAACAAAAAACTCCTGTTAAAATAGTTTAAACAGTTAAAATGCATAGGAAAGGTGATGGGAAATGGTATTCTTTTCTTTATCACTAAGCTCTTCAATCTGTTGACTACCGTCTGTTTAAAGCAAGATTGTAGTACATAGATTTGAATATTTAGAGATTAAGCAGAGGGAAGGTCCAAAGGATAGGGTGTGAAAAATCATATGTATCATCATCCTGGGTTCAAATCAATTCAATAAAATGGAATTAAAATTATTTGAATTAAATGAAAACATCTAAATTGGAAAAACTACTCTTCCATAAAAATCTTCAAAGTGTCTTTTTTTTTTTTTCCCTTCTAGTGTCAGATAGTGCTCCTCACCTTGAGTGCCTAGCAGAATTTGAAGAGAATTTAAGGAAGACCAAAAATTTTTCGGCCTTTCTTGCTAATGTTCGGAAAGCTTTTAGTACTATGGTTCATAATTAATGTATAAATAGTATATAAAAACTGTTTATTTTTCTTCCTTATTGTGTATCTCTTTTAAACAGATTTCTTATTATCCAGTTTGCCTATAATCCTTTCGTATTTTTTAAAACATTTCTGTGTGTTAAATTAAAATTAAATTTTAATTAAAATCTTAGGAAATAAAATGTATAAGGTCAAATGTGTTCTTTTTAAAATGAAAGATAGTACACACACACGCACGCACGCACGCATGCACACAGTTGACCCTTGAACAACATGGGTTTGAATTATGCAGGTCCACTTAAATGTGGATTTTTATCAATAAATTCAGTTGGCCATCCATATCCTTGGGTTTCACATCTATGGATTCAGCTAAGCATGGTTAGAAAACAGTATTTAAATCTGCAGTTAGGCATCTGCAAATGCAGGAGGCTGATTTAAGTGAGATGGGCATTTTCAACTGCATGCGGGTCAGAGCCTTCACCACCACAGTTGTCAGAATCAACTATATATATATACACACACATACTCTTATATATAAGTACATTCTACTTATATATAAGTATATATTATATTTTATTTAAACTTTTTTATGTTCTATAGATATATAAACCTAAAATAGGTTTATAACCTAAAATAGGTTTATATATATATAGGTTATATATATATAGGTTATACATAGGTTATATATAGGTTATACATATATATATAGGTTATATATATATAGGTTATACATATATATATAGAACCTATTTTTTTATATATATATACCTATTTTAGGTTTACATAAACCTAAAATAGGTGTATATATATATAAAAATAGGTTCTATATATATGTGTGTGTGTGTGTATATATATGTGTGTGTGTGTGTGTGTGTGTGTGTGTGTGTGTGTATATATGGTTTTTTTCCCCACAGTAAGCAGGGGTAATTTATGGCTAGCCTATGAATGGGAAGTACAACCCGCACCATGTCTCAGTGGTTTCCAAGCATTTGAAAGTCATGGACAGGTAATATTAAAAACTTAGGAGGGGGGGCCCAACCTAGGGTTGGCAAACTTTGAAACGTACTTGGTAGAATGAACACTACTAAATAGTACTATCTACTCTAATCCTAACATCATCCTAATATCTCAAACCAAGAGGGATCTACAGTTAAAATAAAGGACAAACATTCGTGTCAGAAGAATGTTGGCAGTATTCTAATATATTCGAAAAAGTTTATATTTTTGAAAATCCAAATATAGAACATTTATAACCCATTTCCATTTTGTAATATTTATACTGTTTAATTGTGGTCTGGGTATGTTTTCATCTTGGGAGTCTTCAACACTGACTAGAACTCGAATGTCAGCATGATCTAGGATTTTGTTTTGTGACTGCCTTTCCTTGTAAGTTTGGTTGTATTTAGGTATGTTGGCTATAACGGAGGCCACACAGTACTGCTTCGGAATATCTTAAAAAGCCATGGAGCAATGGCTTCCATGCCTGCAGTTCCTCTCCTGCTTCTCCTTAATCTGGGGAAAACCTCAGGCCAGTCGTCTACTGTAGGAAGGGGATTTCCAAAACACTCTCCCAGTTGCCTCTCATGCCTAGTAGTTGGCTCAGGCTCTACTCATATAACTAGGATTTATATGAGAAGAATGCTATGGACTCATGGAAGTGTTCACTCACATACCCCAGAGTGTAAACCAGTTTTTAGGAACCATTGATTCGTATTACCTCTGCTGAAATGAAAGGCTGATAAACTGCCCTAGAGATTGGTGAGTGTTCTACTAACAATAGTCAATTTTAACCTGGGCTTGGCTAAAGCAAATATTTTAACAGGGAGTGCAGAGAAAAACTACCTAGTTTTCCTAGGCAGATCTTCACATTTGGCCTTTTTTTTTTTTAAACACACCTACATTTAAATGAATGCATGGCACCATACCAAAACCGTTGTGGACCTAGCTCGATTTGGATGGAGCTCAAATTACCTACCGTATATCAGCAGGGTCTGTTTCTTAGCTTTTATTTCTGTGCTGAGGCCCCATTTGGTGAACTCCAGCAATTTCAAGCCCATCTCAATCCCTGAACCAGTCACTGATGATCAGGGAAGTAAAGTACATGCCTTGGATTAGACTAGATACCTCTAGAAACCCAGCTGTGGACGTAGATTAACCACAATTACTTAAACGAAGAGTGGGGATGTTCTCAAAAGGGAAAGAGAAATTAATTAGATGTTTGACATCAAAAAAAAATAGCAGATCACTACCGTGAGTATTTATTTACTGAGTTCCCTGCTTGAAATATATCCACAAGGAACAAACATAAAACTTAAGAAAAGATCATTCATTGAGATTAGAGAAACCGTGTCTCATACCACAAACTCGTGATGATGTGTTCTGAACCACACATTGAAAAGGCATGGGCATGGCGTGTCTTTTAAAGAAATTCTGAAGGATCCCTTTTACCTGCAAATTAGAGAAATGAAGCTTGGTGATGAGAGAAGAAGTGGGGCGCTCCCTACTTAGGGTCTGTTTCTCCTCTAGAACAGCCATTCTTCACTTCTAACTGGCGGTGGAGGTGGGGCAAGACCACATAGCAGGGAAGTCACAAACGGATCCCAAAACAGATTGTTTAGGACTGGCTACCTTAGAATAGTGGTTAACTTTTTTAGCCTTTCTTAGATGTCTAACAGTGTTCTAAGCCCTTTACATACAGGGTCCAGAAGAAGTAAGGCCTGCTGGAATGTGGTTAGTAGGGTAATAATATGGGTGTAATAATTTATAGTTTTAATTTAAACATTTCACCTAAAATATATAGTATGCTGAGTATGATTGTTATTTTACAGAATTACATGTTTATGATTTTGTAATAAAAAAGGGGCATTATTTGTGCTGGACCCTGTATATTTACTCATTTATATTCCCTTGAAAACCTGTGTGCTAGGTGCTACCCTACCCATAAAGGAATCCAAGGTACAGAGAGTTTAAGTAACTTCAAGTCACAGCACTGGTGTTGGAGTTCAAACCCAGGTGGCAGTCTGGCACCTAATCCGTGAATTTCACCTAGACTACACCTTCTGTCTATGTTACATTGCAGGGAAAGTATGTAAAAACAAGGTTCTAAACAAGATTCTAAACAATTTAAACTTCTATAACCAAACAGGTCCAGCCGTCAGCCACTGCAAAAGCCAACACTGGAGAGGCAGGGGGCGATGTAAAGGAAAGAGGTTTATTCAGATGCCAGCAACCTGGAAGATGGGGACTCTTGTCTCAAAGCCCATCTTCACCTCTCAGAGGTGTTTATGAGGAGGGAGAGGGGAGCAGAACAAAGAGATCAAGGGAGGGGATTGAAAAGTTCTCTGTGTGCAGATGAGCACAGTCCATTCCGACAAGGCAAGGGGTGATCCGGTGTGAGTCATCCTGGATTCACATCATCCTGACCTGATATCATCCTGACTCCACGGTTGAAGGTCAGCCAATCTCCCAGAGCAGCGATGCCTGAAGGTTGGAGTCTGTCTCTTTTGAAGTTAGTTCCTGGGATTCTTACACAAACATGCTGTTTATCTACAAGCTACACATTAGTCAGAGTCAGCACTTACAGAAACAATGTCAGAAGAATGGGAGGTGGGTTAGAGTTGGCCACTGTTGCAGTTCCCACCATTACACTTCTATATTATAAATGAGTTTTTGTGTTTCTATAGAAGCATAATGATTAAAGGCGGGGGGAAAAGTAAATTGTCTTGACCCACAGATCTCAGGAAAACAATGAGCAGAGTACCTGGTTTCTGGACACCATGTGATTCACTGAGAGGCTTCTAAACAGACCTCATCAGCTGAGGTATTCATGGAAATGCTGAATGGAGGAACTTTGACATATACATTAAGTCTTTATCTCTTTAGTCAAATATAGAGGGCTTTTTTTAAAAAGAAAGATGTTTTGTTGTTTTTAAAGATCTTTTATTTAATTATTTTTAGAGAGAGAGGAAGGGAGGGAGAGAAACAGCAATGTGTGGTTGCCTCTTGTGTACCCTCTACTGGGGACCTGGCCTGCAACCCAGGCATGTGCCCAGACAGAATTCAACCAGCAACCCTTTGATTTACAGGCTGGCACTCGATCCACTGAGCCACACCAGCCAGGGCTAGAGGGCTTAATTTTTGAGGTTTACTATGTGCCAACCTAGAAAGATTCTGGAACTAATATTAATATATTAGCTTAAATTTTAAAGGTGATACTGTGGACCAAAAAAACCACAAAAAACAAAAAACAGGGGTTCTATGGAAAGTAACCTCACAGATCACAGATATTCTGATCATAGAGTAACTTTTTAATAAAAGGTTTATCTTCGCCTTAAGCCAGACCTCTTCATTGTTTCTGTGCATCTAGGATAACACACCTTCAAAGTTAACCATAACCACCCTCAAGAGAGTGAATAATCTTGTTAACTTTTATAATCCAATCCCTGCTTTGCTTCTCCCCCTTCACGTAATCTTCAAGTACCCTCCTTAATTTCAAATGCATAAAAGAAGCTGCAAAGCTGTTATTTTTTTAGAGCATTTGCAATCTTGCTCCCCAGCATATGTTGTCAGTTTGGCTCAAATAAACTCATAAAAATTCTCTGCAGGTTTGGATGTTTCTTACATTGACAATACATTACAAAAATTATGCTTTGAATCGTTACAAATACACATGAAAAGCAAACCAGGCTATCCTATTGAACTTGCTTTCTCTTTATACATTTTATTTAGGATGATATGTTATAAAAATGAAATAATCTCAAGCATGTAAAATCTTCCTGATATAGAAATAAAGCATAAGTTACAAAGATATCACATTGTCTTAAATAGGAAAAAATACATTCAAGTAGTAAAAGTCTTTGAAATGGAATCCAAATAGGGCCGACTAATCAAGTCCACATTTTGTAATAAATTAGAACAATGAGATCTCTAAGATTAAACTCAAACACTAATTGTTTAAGTTAAAACTAATCAGCACAAAATCTACTAAAGTGTTCTAATGGATTTGAGGTTTTAATTTC